CATTCAGTATCTTGTAATAATCTATAATGAAAAGAAAATGAAAAAGAATATATACATATGTATAACTGAATCACTATGCTGTACACCAGAAACCAACACACTGCAAATCAACTAAACTTCAATAAAAAGAATTTTAAAAAAAGAAGTAAAAGAAAAGAATTTTCTCCTAATGTTTAAATGGGGGAAAGGGCACAAGACAAAACTCCTCCACGTAACAATTCACTGGGTGCTGGTTTGCACGTGGTTTGTGAAATGAACCCTGAACAGTGCAACAGACAAAACCCTTGGCCTCTAGAACTTCTCAGTCTACCTCCACCCCAAGATGTTCCTAATACGCCGGCACTTCTGTGAAAAAACAAAATAAACCAAAACCATGGTGTATTTTTCTTATGTAGGCTTAAAACTTCTCTTTCTGGAGACCATTTTAGTGGAAGGAATAATGTCAAGAATACTAAAACCATTGTTTTGTTTGCTTTTTTTAAAAACTCTTTTGATCTTTTAATCTTATCCTCTCGGTTACCTCCCTTTGCCTTTTTTCTGTCTGCTTACACCTCCTTGTCTTCTGTTACTTCCTTCCCATTCTTTGTCCGGGGTCTGAAACCCAATAGGTGCCTGGAATATGAACAGGAGAGAGCTGCTGCTGGTTCCAGGCTTGCCTTACCCTCTGCTCAGCACTGTGAGCCCGACTTCATCCTCCTCCCTACTCCCCTCCTCATGCCGGCTCTCTTTTTGGACTATTATTAGCAAAACCCTACCATGAAGAGTCGGGGGGTTGGGGGGGGGAGTTACTTGGTTCAAGGGTGGGGTCTGTAGCACTTAAGCTGATATCACAACAGATCATGTTCCAGGCAGGAAGGGACACGTTCTTCTCCAGGTTTTTAAAATAACGTCTTGTACTTTAAAGATGATTATTAGCTAATTGGAGAATAGAGACAATACTGCAGCTATGTCAAATTCTCCTTTCATCTTCTACTTACCAACTTGTTATTTTTGTGATTGTGCATTTTCCACAATTAGTTTTGCTAGCGCAGACTTGGCATAAGAACTGCCATGTATTGAATACTACTCTGGTTAACCCGACAAACAGGAGTATGTCATTCTCTTTGATCATCTTGAACGTCCACTAATGACGATGAGATGCTGGAACATCATTACTGACTATCAACAAATGAAGCAGTGATTTTTTTTTATAGATCAATTTCTTAACCTTTTTTTTTTTAAACTGAGGTATAGCTGATTTGCAATATTGTGTTAGTTTCTGGGTATAGCATAGTGATTCAGTTATACAAAAGTATATTCTTTTTCATATTCTTTTTCATTATAGGTTATTACAAGCTATTGAATATAGCTCTTGGTTTCTTAACTGTTAATACAAAGGTATGAGGGTATGGGAGGGTTAAGTTTTGAATTTCCATCAAATCATTGCAATCTGATCCTAGTCTTCAAATGACTATAATGCCAAAAGTTTCTTGGTAATACAACTTTCCAGAAAACAGAAAGGAAATTAAGTTATATCTGATTACATTACAGAAAGTCCAGCTGGTGTCTGGGCCATCACCGCCATGTCAGAAACCTCACGTACGTGTTGCACAGGGGCAGGCTCTGGGCTCCTGGGCTCCAGGGCTCCAGCACGTGGACTTGCCCTCTTATTCTTTAGCTGAGCAATTTGTAAGCATCAGGAGAGACTTCAAAGAACACAAATGTACCTCGATGTTTTCATCGTGAACAAAGCAAACTGTCAGTTGTTCACACGGAATCAATGAAAATTACATCCCTTGAAACATGAGTACAATCTGTTTCTTCCTCACAGCAAGGTTACTAGCTTCAACATATCATGTTTCTTAAAGTTGATTCAATGAGGTCAAGTCTCTATGGTTGGAGCAAAGTACCCTGATGACCTGTTCTCGTGGTTCTCAACCACTTTGTTCATGCCACGGACACTAAAAACTTCTCAAACGCACTGTGAATACAGATCCCTGAGGATTTTGCTAAAGCGGAGCTTTTAATTAAGTAAGACAGAGATGAAGCCCATGGTTCTGGGTATCTTGGGAGGTGCTGCTCCTGCTGGTCCAAGGACACATTTGCACAGAAGGGTAACATAGCATTTGGCCTCCTAACTCTGCCTGCCCCAGGTTGGCACTAGAATTAACCCACAGCTGTGAGCTCCTTCAGTGAAGCACAGACAACCCCTTACTTTTGTTTCGTATTCTAGATACATTATTAGTTCACAGTTGAATGCAAAATACGGACTTTAAAAAAATAATTATTTTCACGTTTGAAAAGAGTTCAGGAAGATAATGCAGATCTTCTGAAGGAATGCCATAGGACACTAGTTTTCCCAATCTTCATTTAAAAAGCACCTAACTATTATAATTAAACCAGTCAGAAAACACTGATGCTTGATTCTCCCAGATTCTGATTTTAATTGGTCTGGGGTGCAGCCTAGGCTTCAGGACTCTCCAGCTGATTCTTTGCAGCCTGGTTGAGAAGCCCCCCTCTTTAGGAGTTGCAAAGCCAGGCACTCACAGGGTGGCGCACTTCCAGCCCCTGTGGAATGCAGAGTGCTTCTTAGAGACTGAAAGTATAATACAAGGAGAAGAATAAGTGGAGAAACAGAGTGAATTCAAGAGGGAGGAAAAGGAGAAACCATTAGAGAAAGGTGGAGGTCTGAGGGTTGACCATAGTCTGAGAAGACCTGGTAGGCAGCTGACTGGAAGCCTCCTAGGTGTCACGGATGAGACAGATGTCACCCTCTTTGTTACTTGTTTTGATATGACAGTAGCATGAAGGCTGAAACACGCATGGAAATGAACAGACGGGGGATAAGGACGCACATTTGTAATGGCCATTAGACTCAAAACTGTTTTCATTTCTGAAGGAAGCAGGAGAAACACTACTACACACCTTGAATCTGGGACAACAGGAAAACTTTCAAAGGACTCGCAGGAGCCCAAACCTCCAGACAGGGAGGGGACTCCTTTGGTTGGTACTATACTGTGTCTGTGTGGTTGGTGGTTTGTAACGCTTTCTCTGTCAAATCTTAATGTGTGGATCACAGTAGCACCAAAAAAAAAAAAAGTGAGACAAAGAGTCAAAGCTGCACACACTGCCAACATTCAACACCTCCCATGGGTCTTCTGGGCAAAGGGACCCCGGACAAACGTTAGGTAACCAGGTGATACAATCCAGCGAGTGGGTTGGGGGGTGGGGGTGACGATCTATCTAGATGCCTCGGTTTGAATGTGATAAACGTCCTACTAGAAAGTTAACCCTTGGCTTCTTCACAGGGAACACATACTAAGGTTTCAAACGCAATTGTTTTTGTGAACCAGACACCACATGCAAGAGGCACCTGGTGAACAGTAAATATCTAGACTGTAAGAAACTAAATCTCAACACCTTTATCAGAGAGGCACCACCCAGTTCGAGGGAACAAAAGACTCGTGGTTTTCTCTTCCTCAAAGAGTTCACTGCCGTGTGTGTTCTGTTTGTGATCTTCTTTCAGCTGATAGCGGCGTTTGGTTACAAACCCTTATCCCTCCATCTTCTGCCTGCCTCACAGCTGTTTGAGGCTCCCACTGGCCACCGCTAGGATCTCGCTTTTCCATTCAGCTCCTGGACCCCGAGCCCTGACACCCACAGCCCAACTTGGGAGTGTTTTGCTGCTCCGGCTGCTTCTCTCCTTCAGGAAGAGAAGGCTCGTTCAACAAAGGAGGAGTGATATTGGGATGTCATGAAGGTGCTCCTGGAACTGCCAGCAGCCCTGTCCCCTGCCACAAAGGGGCTCTTGTGGGCTTGTTTATCTACAGGCTGGTGAAGACCTAGGAAGTCACTTTGTTTGGAGCAAAAAGCTTAAAATGGTCTCAAGCACAGATCTGCTTTCATTAAAAAAAAAAAAAATCAAAGAAAGTATCATCTCCAGAGCTCACGTTTCCTCCTTCTCTTGTGTCACCTCCATAAAAGGCATTCAGTGAACTATATGTAATTATTAACTGACGGATTCCTTACAGTGATTTCCAATTAGAGTCTGCAATATTCATTTGCCTTTTTTTTTAAATGCATCATTTAAATCGCCCTCATCATTCTAGACCAGAAATCAGTATTTTGTTTGACAGATGAGGACCTCGAGGGTGAGGAAGATGAAAGCATATTATCACACATGTGCAGACTGGAAATCATGCAATATGTTATAAACACTTACACATTCTGATGAGATGAAGATTTATCATCGAGTACGCAAGGCAGTCTTGCCAAATAATCGCTGTAGACAACCTCTTACAATTTGGGGATTCAGAGTAGGGAACCCCGGCTCCACTGCTGTGGGTGTTTGTGTGTCTGTGTGTGTGTGTGGTGTGTGAGCCTGAGGTAGGTGTGTCTCTGTAGGACTGTTTGTGAATGTGTTCGTACGTCTGTGCGTGATGATGGGGGAGCTCCTGGTTTGTAGACCTGCCCCGTATGACTTTAAGACACATGGTTAGTTCTTAGCTTACTGATATGAGAACCCCTGACGTACATATAGAACTTAATAAAAAAAATTAAGACTTTATCTGACTCAGCAAAACTGCATTACAAGGCAACTCAGATAATCTAAAGACAGAGTAAACTGAAGTAGCCAAGAAGTCTAGATTTTGACTCACTTTTCTAGATAAAAGGAGAAAGTATTATCCCTGATTTGAATTCAGGAACTAAAACACGGTACAGGGGGATGCAGGGCAAGAGCCTGGATGTTTTGTCCGGTGATACCAACACATCCCAGAGGCTTTTCACTGAGGTCGTCTGATGAAGTGTCTGCCCTGAAACCCCAGACTTCAACACTGGTCTCTCCCATACGTGCTGTTTAGTGAGGATGCAAAGAATTGTTGCTCTAATGGAAACTTTCACTCGCAATGTATTTAGCTCTGGCCCCCAACCAAGGACTTTACTATAATGGTTATTCGGACATTTCATTGCTCCTTCCCAAATTACTCCTGAGAACAGATTGCAATTTCAAGTAGACTTACAGGGACTGAAGGCTTCGCAAATTCTGTAGAGCTTCTGTGGGCACCTGTCTCAGGTGATTATTCTGCAGCATACTGCATATTAAAACAGATGAAGAAAAATGTTAAAAAAAGTTAATAACGAACAATTACTGGCACAGCCATGTTAAGCACCGTTCTAGGTGTCAGGGAAACAGCAGAGCATTAGACAAAGCCTTGGCCTTGAATTCCTGTGCTGAATGGTGGATAACTAAAAATTAACAAATGAGTATATAATGGGAGACAACTATGAATAGAAAACAAAACATGGATTTGGGGTAGATGGTAATGAGGGGTGAGAATTTTATTTTAAAGGTGGTCAGAGAAGATCTCTCTTAGGAGGTGATATTTGAGTAAAGACCAGAATGGTGTCATGGAGGGAAACATGTGAACGTCTGAGAAGTTACTGAAGAAGCGGGAAGAGCAGGTGCAAAGGCCCTGAGGCTGGAGCTTGCTTGAGTTGTTAAAGGCAGCAAAGGCTCAGTTGGGACTGAGGAGGAATAAGTGAGAGCAAGAGACTGGAAGACAACCTAAAGCCATCTGATGGAGGACTTGCAGGCTGTAAGTGTGGTGAGAAACTCTTGTCAAAGGGGTTAAGCAGGGACATGATTTGATCCCATTTGTTTTAGAAAGGCTCACTATGGGGACAATTCAATTAGACAAATGGAAATAAGGGTAACAGTAGAAGGCTATTACATCTGCTAGCCAAGGAGAGAGGACTCAGAAGATATCAAACCTATGGACACCTTGATCTTGAACTTCCAGCCTTCAGAACTGTAGGAAAATAAATTCCTGTTATTTAAGCCAGGAAAAAAAAAAAAGAGTAGGAGGCTATTCAAGATCGTCTCCTTTCAAAATATAGCCAAATATGTGTGGTCATCTTTTGCTATAAATTAAATTTGTGAAGTATTGCACTTTTGCTCACCGGGGTTCAACAATTCTTTTCAGACTACAGAGTGGAAAAAATCGGCAGCAATGAAATTAAAATATATCACTGCTAGTGGGAAGTAGTTTGGAAAAAAATTCCCATTCGCTTTCTTGTATTTTGCCACCTTATTCATAAATGTGTATAACATCCTAATTTTGCTGCCACTCCCCTCAACCCCCAACCAGTATTTCATGGTCTATGTAAGCCAGAGGCAGAAGACTATTTTAGGAAAGCAGTTTTTAAAAGACAGTTAAAAAATATTCTACTTATTAGGTTACAAATTTATGCTTGGATTTCAGAAACAATTTGCCTGGTTCTCTCATCTCCACAATTGAAGCTTCTTTGCATTAGTGGACTCGCTGGGATTCAGCACTAAGTACGTCAAATTCCCAAGCTTGGTGGACTTTCCACTGAGCCTTGCAGCATCCTTTGGCAGAGTGAATGGGCAGTTCTCAGGTTGTCTGGCCTTTACGGTATGATTAAGTGCGTGGGTTCTGGGATCTGACTAGCTCTGCCCTGCCAGTAGCCCCGAGGCCTCAGGGAAATCAGGCAATCTCTCCATGTCTCAGTGACCAGTAATAATACCCACCTGCCCAGGGCCTATTGTGATGATCTAATGAGTGAAAGTGCCCAGAACGACACCTGCTGCCTGGTGAGCGTTCAATAAAAATTGGCCCTTATAGTGTGAACTTATAAACCTCTCTTCAAGACTAATGCCATACGGAGACTGTACTGGATACGACATTATAACAAATGGGAAAATAAAATGGGCAAAAAATGCAACTCTGGGCCAGAGGTTCTCAGGCTTCAGCGTTCATCAGAATCCACTGGAAGGCTTGTTGAGAATCTTGTTTGCTGGGCTCCCCGCCGCTGAAGTAGGGGGGGCCGGAGAACTTGCGTTCCTAACAGATTCCCAGGTGATGTCAGTGTTAGTGGGCAGGCACCACACACTGAGAACCACCCCGGGCCATGCTAAGTATTTCTAAGAATGTTTTCACCTGAACTTGAGGCTACGTTGAGCTTGGAGATAAGGCCTAAGTTTCGACCTTGGCAAGCAAACCGTTTAATCTCCTTGGCCCTTGCTCTTTTATCTGCATAATGGGAGTAGAATAATATCATTTGATTGATAAGGGGTTTGAGGATTAAAATATGAATATGCATTTATTACATGTTCAGATATGCAAATGTGAGCTCATTTGCAAATAAAATGTGAAAAATACTTGGAGGTCATAAGATTTATGTTTTTCATACCTTTGCTGAGATTCTGCTTTCAAAGGAGTATAATTCTGTCACTTGTAATCCAATGGTTTTACACAAGTAATTTCATTATGTTAAACTTGGATTCAATTAACATTTCATAAATCCAGTGTCTCAGAATATATTGGTTCCTTATGAACACAGTTAACTTTAAAGGAGGACTCTCACTTCAATTACTGGTTAGGGAATTGGGAAAATTATAGCCTGAGTTCCATATTTTACATAATTTATTATTAAATATTATCAAATTATTAAATTATATCTAAACATTAAACGTTCACATTTCCATGTTATTTTATACTTTCCAAGCAGTTTTAATATATAATTTTAACTTGACAGAAGTGTTTTCTAAGTCACTCATTAGTTGTGTGATCAATTTAAATGATAAGATACAGATAACGGACTTAATTGATGTCTAAACTTTGTAGGTGATATATTACTGGTTCATAGCGTGTGTCGAATTGTCCTCTTGTGCTTTGCTAACCAAACAGTGAAGCTCTTATAATGTGGTCTTCCTAAAATATTGGAAAATTGGAGTAGAGGATATTTAAATGGTTTCTCTTCATTGAATAGTTGCAAACTTTCTCAGCTTTATATATCTGGCTTCAGAAAATGGAACTTAAGCTTTACTAATGATAACTTTTAAAGCTACCTCTGAGTTACCGCCCAGCAATTTAATTTTCAACCACTTCTACCAGTAAAACACTAAAAATATAATAAAAAAAATCAGTTAAGTTCTGATCGCTCCCTAAATAAAGAACTTTTGTTTAATTACTTTCAAATGACAAAACAAGAGCAAATTATCTCCATTATAGCCTATAGGTCTCCAGTGAGTCAATTAGGAAATTCTGTTTTTGTTTAAGATAGTCCAGTGGGAGGCAAAACAATGAAAAGGTTTACAGCACTGTGGAGTGCAGTTAAACCAGAGAGCATGCACAGCACGGCTGTTGATTTCATTTATAAATAACCCTTTATTCAAGGCCTTGAATATAAGCAGAATGTACCACCAACTGAATGTGGTTTGGGCACTCACAATTTCCTTTCTATCATTCACATACGTATAAGAAAAGAAAAAAATGAAACACTTTCTCTAGAGACATAGGCTGACTCCGTATTTTCTTGATTTCTTTTCCTGAGGAGCTTGAAAATATTCACTATTCTGTAAGCGTCCCTGCGCTACTCTAACAACACCATTTTGTTTGTTTTTTACAACAGGACTAACGATCAGGTACAGTGCAGCCGCGGGAGACGACATCAGATGTTGAAAGGGGACTTTGTATCGGTCAACAGCTTGATCCTTAGGTATTCCCTGTGCCTAGCTGTCCTGCGGTTAGGTCTCAGGTAGCTCTGCAGGCCGTCTTCTGGGAATGGGAGAATTCTGGCTGACTGTGACTTCTCTGTGGTCAGCGCTATCCGCCACCTCCTCGTGGCTTTGGTTGTGGTGCTGGGCGGCCCGGGGATAAGCCAGCCCCTGACTGTATGGCCTCCCCGAGAACATGAACCTTCGCTGAGGACAGCCTGGTTCAGAGCTCCCCCGGGTTGGGGATTTTGCAATACCAAACCTGTAGCTTATTTTTTATGAAGGCCAATATTTACAGGGGTGATCACCTTACATGACAGCGATCTTCCAGAGCTCACAGTAATAGTATTTCAGATATAAAGCGGGCCTCACCAAAGAGGCCTGTTGCTATCTTAATTTCCCATCTTCGCAGACTGGATTCCTATTCTCTTTGTCTTTTTTTTTTTTAACCATACGCCCTCCTTGCCGTCCTTATACTGGTCAGAGCCCCAGATGGAGATTACTTGTATATTATGTCTCTCTCACCATGCTACAATCTAATCAGTTATTTCTTTCTTCCAGTGCCTTTTGAGACTTTATAAAACATTTGAGACAGTTTCCATGAGGATTTTATAAATATTGGAGACAGTTTCCATGTCTTGTTCAGCATTGTACCTCTAGTAATGTCATTCTCAACTCTATTGGACCCAATTCTCCCTTTAATACAAAATATTTTATAATGCTGTACCCATTACATTTAGATAAAATTCATAAAAATATAGCCTATCTACAGACATCATTTCAAAGAAAAAAATCAACATAATGAACTGTAAAGAAGAAATAAAAGTAATTTATAATCAAGGGACATATGGGGACATATGTGATGCTCAGATGTGACTGTCGTAGGAGAGAGTTCTATGAATGTGTTAGATGTTTGCCTTTAATGAATAAGGTTGGATGTGAGAGAAGTAACACAATTAGAAGTTATTCTGACACAAGAACAGGGAAATGAGACTTGAGGTCCAGATGGATACTAGAGTAAGATCTGTAGTTAAGACATACAATAGATTATCCTCGTTTTATATTATATGGGAAAGAAGGAAATACCTTTATTAAAATAAAGATAACATGCTAAGACATACTGTAGGTGTTGCAATGAGAAAATGAGAAAGTGTTACATTCTCACAGATGAGTATAGGTTTTCTCATAAATGAGTATTTCTTACAAATAAGAGCATATTGAAATCATTCTCTATTTTTTATGAGATCAGACTGAAATACCACAGAGAACCTTCTTCCTATCTCAAAGTTCCATCACATGCTGGGGTGAGCGTGTGTTCTCCAGGATTTCAAGAGGCCCTGGAGAGCCTACCACAGGCAACAGGGAATTGAGGTTAACTGGGGGGAAAAAAAGTTAATGATAAAGCCTTCATAGAAGTTGGGGGGTAGATTCTGCTGGCTAGTGGAAAAGCAAGATTAAAAAAGCAGCAGGCTCCACATCAATCGGTCATTGTGTATTCATCACAACTTCGATTTCGTGTGAGTTTATAACTTTTATCTTAAAGAAAGAAAATAGAACCATGTTATTTCCTTTGAGAGGAAACTTCCCTGGTATGACTTCCAGCTTGTGTTATCTATCTTCTCTACCTAGGTCTCTTTTTGTTCAACATGGAATAAACTGAAAGAAAATTAAGCAACGGGTACTGGAAGAAGGAGGTGTCAATAATAATGAGCTTTCTGATTAAAAAAATTAGGAAGTTGGACATTAATAAGAAAGTCCATTTTTTACAAGTTTCAATGAATTAACATTTCTCAGTTAAACAACGACTCATTGCATCTACTATGCACTAGGCTTTTCCACATCTATTCACAAGTGGAACATAAACTTGACTTATTTTTTTAGCTGATCTTTCTTCAGTGCATCCTGAGGAAACAGATTTTGCAAATGGTTTGAAGCTGTGATCTCATTATGTCAGCATCATAGTAATTTAATTCACTTGAATCAAAATGACTCCAGAAACTCTCCCCAACTTCATAACACAAAACGAAAGGGAAATACTCTTTCACAAGTTTGAGTTGGTAAGTTGGTTATGTAGAAGCAAACAAATTTTGGTACTAGAAGGCAGACAAGGAGAGAGGAAGTTTTTTCACACACAGAATCCAGCCAGGTATAACAGGGTTCTAAGATATCAGTGTAGACAGACTGGAATCGAGATGAATTATCCTGTGGCTCGAAATAGTTCATTAGAGGAATTCAAGCCTTACAAGTTAATTAGCATCCACTTGACACTAAAATCACAAATAGAACAAACAATACTCGGTTTACTTACAGAACTTTAAGGCTGTAAAGGCCAGCAAATGCTCCCTTGGGAATGTGTGTCAAAGCATTTCCGGCAAGACGTCTGTGGGTTTCAAGGGAGAGGAGAGACAGTCAGTATAAGCCTTTTCACGTGGAATTCGTTTAGTCGTTAAAAACGCAATACAATTGTGTTCAGACCACAAATGCCAACAGCAACTGTAAACTACCCGTTTTCTCATACTTTGCAAAAAATTTCTGTAAATCTCTACTCAAAGAGCTGGTGAGAGAAGGGCCAAAGAAGAAATATAATAAATTACCTCATTTACAATAAATCACTTTATAGCTTACATTTTATGTATATATAAAACTCTCCTTTAAAAATGTTTATACAATAGTTAGGCAAGGAGAGAGGGAGGGAGCCCTGGGCGGTGGTTGTGAAGGTGATGGGCTATTGTTACAGACGAGCTGGTCAGGGAAACCTCTCTGCTGAGAGGGCGTTTCAGCGAAGAACGAGTCACGCAGGTACCTTGCGAAGGAAACAGTAGTGCAAAAGGCTTGAGGTGGGAGGGTGCCTGGCGTGGCCCAGAAACTGCAAGAAGGCCAGCATGGCTGCAGTGAGGGGACCAAGGGGAAAGAGACGAGGTGAGGCTGGAGCGGTGTCCGGGGCCACCTCACGCAGGGCTTTGGAGGCCACAATGGGGACTTTGAGCTGGGCAGTGATGCGATCAGTTCTGTGTTTTCCAAGGGTCCTTCTGATGGGACCCTTTTAAAGAAGGGGAAGAGCCTTTGGGGGCAAACGTGGAAGCAGAGGAGCTGATTAGAGCCGTTCAAACGGGAGTTGCTGGTGCGGTGCTGCCTGGGTGGAGGTGGTAAGTGGTGGAGTTTGGTGTCGAAGAAAGAAAATCCCACATGCAAACCACTAGGGTCAAGGTGAAACGTAGGCAGCCAAAAAAAAAAAAAAAAAAAAGAAAAGAAAAAGAAAAAGAAAAACCCACCACATTTTATATTTATGGTTGTATTCTATTTAACCCACACGCATTTGATTAGTTATCCGAAGTGCTAGACGTAATACTGAAGGACACGATTTGTGTATGGCTGTGCTATCAGACTCACTTAATGAATTAAGACAGATCAGGTGTGGTTGGAGATCGCAGGTGGCTTAACTGATCAGACCCCACTGAGCAGGAACTGTTACTTCAGCCCAAATGTCCCTAACGATCGTGTTCGCAGCCACGACTCCAGCAGCACAGCTCTGGAGTCCTAGAACAGGGCCTGTACGTGGCGGCTTATCGATTCTTAACCGTAGCTTGACGGTTTCTGAGTCATTGACTTGGGAAATGAAAAGGAGAAAGTGAAAACGTTTCATTTATTTATTTTATTAGTGAAATTATTGTCAGGGCAAATACCTTTCTGTTACATTTCCTGAAACATAGCTCACTCACTTCACATGGACTATTTTTCTTTTCTGGGCAAGGACTTTCAGAGCCTCAGTCGGTATTCAGAACTAATCTGTGGAGCCACTGACCTGTGTTACCAGGGGAGCTTGTCTTAAAACAGAGGAATTTATGATGGGCTATTAGCTCTTTGCTGGGCTGGTGGAAGATCTGTCTCGTTGTCAAAAGCAGTTTAAGGAAATCATTGCATCCTTCCCCTCATTTCTTTACCATGTGGGATGGTTTTAGCAATTTTAAAATTAAATACATATAAACTCTAGAGAAAGAAAGACTTTGAGTACACAAGTGGTGAGAACTGCACACAAATCTCTCACAAAGATTTGAACTAACAAATCTCTGGGGGACTATGTTCTAACCCTAGAGACCCACATGCCATTTGGCTGGGAGGTTTTGTTTTTGGTTTCTTCCCTCTGTTTCTAAAATTGTTTCATGAAAATATCTCTTTCTTCATCTTCATTTCTGAATAAGATAAGACTTAACAGCTTTTCTTCCCATTGGAGAAAAAAAAGCATTTTTCCTAATATGTCTCAAGAAATTGTGATTTTCAAAAACTAGGGAACCCACGTACCTTCCCACAAGACGTTAAGCATGTCTACTTGGTCAAATCCAGCCCCAAATCATTCTTTCTTAAGTTGTGAATTTATGAACTGTCCATTTTGTTTTCATTTTACATGAGATAGAAAAACATCACATTTCAAGGTTTAAGAGCTAAGACCACTGGCTTGACTAAGTGAACTCTTTAGCGCAGCAGGGAGATCTTTAGTGGACATGTGACCCTATGGTTTCTTTAACCACAGACTAATGAAGTTCAAGTTTCAACTCCTTTGTGACGTCTTCCTTAATTACCTCAGTCCACAGTTCACTTTCCTGTAGGACATATTCTATACAATGCTATTTATAAAGGTTCATTTCCTCCCACTTTATATGTAGTCTACCTGATTTGATTATAATCTTATTGCCTGCCCAGAACAGGGAGCTGAATCAGTATTTACTGATGGATCATTTGATCGTATTTCCAAAGACAGTTGGCCTCAGCGTCAGAACTGCTTCAGGTCTGGCATCACTTGTCCAGCAGGGCTGGTTAGCCATTACATAACCAGATCAGAAAGCTGAAGAATATCCCGTCTTCATTATGCATCGGATTTAAGCTTAGCAATTTATTTGAGCCCTTTCAATATGCCACGTACAGTGCTTTGGGGCATATAAATAGCACGTACCTTTTGTAAATCAATTGATAAATTCTAGGCACAAGGTTAAGTACTTTATATACATTGTGTTATTTAAATGTTTTTAAAAACCACATTAAACAAATGACATGACTATTCCCCTTTGACTAGTCCCCTGGGCTTAAGGGAGGTTAAGTTTATTTGCTCAGGCTTACGTATGAATGTTTACACAAGAGAATTTGGGTCAACCATAGCATTTTGGCTCCAACATTTGAATTTTTATTTTTTTACTTTAAAATTGTTTTTTTTGGGGGGGGGAGGTAGTTAGGTTTATTTATTTATTTAATTTATTTATTTTAATGGAAGTACTGAAGATTGAACCCAGGACCTCATGCGTGCTAAGCATGCTCTACTACTGAGCTATACCCTCCCCCCATTTGAGTTTTTAAACATCTCTGGTTAAAGCAGGTTGGTCTGGAGCTTGGGTTGATCAGGAGCAACCAGTCTAAAACAGGAAAAACACAAGGACACAGATGGCTGCCTTACTGGAGGTACCGGCTGTAAGAAAACTGTTGCCTGCTGCTTCTTACTCAAAGTCCTCCCACTGCCTCCTGGATCCCATACACTCTTTCTGCTCTCACCACTACCAGCAGTTGTCTTTCTCTCTTCTTGCTAGCCCTTCTTTTAATGCTCATTCACCAAACATAGATATTCTTCACGCTTCTGTCCTCACACCTTGTCTTTTTCTTTATCTAGTAGCACTCAACCTTCAGCATGTGCTGCCATTGCCTGAGAAGTCACCAAAAATTCAGATCCCCTACACTAAACTGAGTTTAGTGAATTAGAGTTTCTGGGGGAAATGATTCAGGAATCCACTTTCTAATAAACCTCTCAGGTGATGTTAGCACGGGTAGAGACCCACACTGGGAATCAGAGCCCAGACCCTCTTTCAAGGTCCTCATCTGCCCCAGCACCTTGCACAGTCACCTCTTTGTGAACAACTCTCCAGTCATCTCTAGGGCAGTGTCGTCGTGCTCCAGGCTCACGTTCCGACTTAGTTATTGATACTTCCATCTGGATGTCTGGCTGGTGCCTTGCACTTGGTACATCCAGGACCAGACATCCTCTTGCCTCCAAAGTAGCAGTTGTTCCCTTTGAATTCCCTCTTTTTATTGACTGTGCCTTACCAGTGTCCTAGCACCTAATCTTATAGCCTTACTCAGAGACATCTCTCACCCTCAGACCTCCTTTTGGATCCTACATTTAAGTCAACTGATGAGTGCCTGACTGTATTCCTTTGCTGGGAAGCTTCCATATATTCCAGTGGGCCTCAGCCCCTGTAGAATTTAAAAGAATGATTTTTGGATCTCCACTGAAACCCATTAAATTGGAATCTCTAGGAACAGGCCCTGGTAATTTGCAGGTTTAGAAATAATGCCTACTGAAGGTGGGAAACTCTGAAACAGTCCTCACAGTTTCACAGTGATAAGATCATCCAGAGACCTTCCTGATCTCCAACCCCAGAGACAATGATTCATTCACTCATTGTTGGGAGCATCAGGAGAGGTGATTAGTTAATACACTTTAAGTCAATCAGAGGAGATAGTAAGAACCTGAACTAGGTGGTGATGAAACAGAGTAAACCAATAGGAAAGACAAGGCAGAGTTGTGAGTGTTAGGACTTGGAAATTGGCTCACATGGGAGGTGAGAAAGAATAACAGGTGCAAAATCAGTGACAGACACAGTGATCACAAGTTTGGATAATCAGAAAGCTGATGGTGAGAAGCGACGGCAGGAGGAAAAGCTTGTTGTGGGGGTGGTGTGTGTGTGCAGGAATGATCTGGTTCTGCACCTGCCAGGTAGGTGGACGCGTCACTCAGGTAGCGGATGTTTTGCCAAGTGTGGTCCCTAGATTCGTAGAATACATTTCACCTGAGGGTTTGTTGTAAATGCAAATTCTTGACATCCTCCCCGCCCACCTTCAACCTGCTGGAGAAACTCTGCGGCGGCGCCCAGCGATGTGCAGTTCACGGGCACTGTAGGTGATTCTGATGTCACTAAAATTCGAGAACCACTAGCCTCGAGTAGTAGTCCTTAGCCTTGATCGTGCATCAGAATCACCCGGAGAACTTGTTAAAGGCAGTTTCCTGAGCTCAGGCGCCAGAGTTTCTGATTCACGAGGTTGGGGTGGGGTGCTTGGGTTGGGGTTTGCATTTCTCACAAGTTTACATGCGGTGCTAGTGCTGCTGGTCCAGGGACCACACTTTGAGAACCACTGGTCTAGCAGTCAAAGGCAGAAGACATCTTAAGCAGAAATACAGATCTGGGGGTCATCTGTATAACAGAGGTAGTTTAAATCTTGGGTTTCTTTCCCAGACAACTGCAGTCGTCTCTTAATGGGTCTGTGACCTCCTGACAGGTCTCTTGGCTTCCATAATTTGCGTACAGAAATCAGAGAAGTCTTTATAAATTGTAAATCCTA